CCCTTGATATCATCTAGAGTGTAACCTATTGCTTTTCTGTACTTCCTCAATTCAACAAGCAAAGCACTCAACTGTTCAGGTTCCAAATCAGAGTTCACAATGACAGGGTAAGTTGAGTTTTCACCCAGAAATGCATACCTGAGGCCCTCAGGCAAAGGTTTGAGGTCGACTTTAGGCGCCTTGAGCTCAGACCAATCTCCTTGAGCTGTTCCTTGCATTCAGTCCCCAGCTCGATCGAGTTCGTTTGTTCGAGGCTCGACTCGATCGAGTTCTTGATCGAGTTCACTGCCATGACCTCGCAAACTGGCCTGTCCAATCCCTCAATGCTCAGAATGTTTGGAACTGGTCTGAAGGTGTCAAGGAGCTTCTTGTACTCATCGGTTTCTGAGCTCACATATCCCTCTGAAGAATCCTTGGTCAAAGCAACTTGTAGGATCCTCTGTTGATAACTCTTCTAAAAGCTCATCTGCCAACTGATCCATTTCCTCAACATAAAAGAGCTGACCTTCTATGTTGGTTTCCTCATTGTATCCTTGATATCAAACTTCATCTTAGGTCCTTTCCCAAGTTTACTCAATTGTTCCTTCACAGACATCTATCATTGCTCTTGCTGTAGCTAGGAATGGCCTTCCTAGAATCAATGGATCTGTTGGTTCCTCATCCATCTCAAGCACAATGAAGTCTGTGGGGATTTCCACATTCCCTATCCTCAAAGGCAGGTCTTCAAGCATCCCAGTTGGTAACCTTATCGATCTATCTGCCAAGACTAGTGAGATTCCGCAGGCTTGTACTTGTGATATCCCAGTCTCTTTGCTACAGACAAAGGCATGAGGCTGACAGATGATCCTAGATCGCAGAGGCTGTTTTTGAAAGATAGGGGTCCCAACATGCAGGGCAAAGTGAAACTCCCCGGATCTTCCTTTTTGTCGGAGATGACCTTCCGCTGAATGATTGCACTGCACTCGAGTCAACACTACCATCCCTTGTGCTTCCCTGGTTCTTTGCTGAACAGCATCCTTCAGAAATTTCTGATAAGGTGGAATGAGCATCAAGGCGTCGATGAAGGGCAACTTCAGCTCAAGTTGTCTCATTAGTTCATCAAACTTGGCCTTGTGTGCTTCCAACAGTTGTTTCTTGAACCTTCCTGGAAAGGGTAGAGGGGGTTTGTATGGTGGTGGTCCTGCTGGAGTGTCTTTCTTCTTTGCAACAGGTTTAGCTGGTTGGCTGGAGTTTGCTTTGTCTGTTTCTTCTGGCTCGATCGAGCTCTGGTTTGTCTTGCAGTGTCTCAGTTTCTCCAGCTCGATCGAGTTCTGGTTCAGGGTTTTGTTCCAGCTCGATCGAGTTCGGGTCGAGTTATCAGCATAGTCGACTAAATCCTCCCCTTCCTCGTCATCGATGTCCACAGCGATTTGGGGTGGGCTACCTCTACTCGGGAATTGTCCCACTTCTTAGTGTAACTGCTTGGGCATACTCTTGTGGTGAAGAGGATGATGCACTTGAAGACTCAATGATTTGGACTCTTGAAGTCAATGACTCTAGTTTAGAGTGTATCTCAACCAGCTTGTTGTTCATTTCCAGAGAACCTTTGGCTTGCCCTTGTAAAAGTTGTTGGAGCATTTCCTTCATATCCCAATCTTGAGTTGGTTGGGTATGAGTAGTCCTTGGTTGAACCTTGTGGAACACTTTGTTGTTGGTGCGGCCAGGGGGCTTGATAATTGTTGTATCTCCCTTGTTGAGGATTCCTATAGCTTCCTTGTCTATTTTGAATGTAGCAAACTTCTTGTGTTGTCTCCTCCCCTTCCTGGTCCTTGACTAGGTTTGTTCTGAGACATAGTTGACATGCTTGGCAGGGAATTGGGCTAGGATCAGTTTGTCCAACTTCGAGTTGAGTGCAAGCATGTCTTTTCTCATCTGAGCTCCAGCTCGATCGAGTGCGCGGTCGAGCTCCAGTACTTCATATGCTCTCCATAGCATTCTGTTGAGATGGCCATGTTCTCCACAAGTTGCCAGCCATCATCTACATCCTGGTTGAGGAAGTTCCCATTGCTAGCTGTGTCTAGCATCTCCCTATACCTAGGCAAGCATCCTCTATAAAGAGTGGAGAGTAGTGATTCATTGTTGAATCCATGGTGTGGGCACTGACTTGTGTAGCCTTTGAACCTCTCCCAAGCCTCTGCGAATGTCTCATTGTTTCGCTGGATGAAGCTGGATATCTCTCCTCTAAGCTTGGCTGTGCGACCGGTGGAGAAAAACTTAGCAAGAAAGGCCTTCTTGCATTCATCCCAAGTGGTGATTGTGCCATGGGGCAAGCTCTTCTCCCATTGGTGAGCTTTGTCAGCTAGAGACATAGGAAAGAGTCTCAGCTTGATGGCATCTTCAGAGACACCATTGATCTTTGTCAAATCACAAAGCCTATCAAACTCATCAAGGTGGTCAATGGGGTCTTCACTTGGCAATCCATGGAACATCTTGTTCTGGACAAGGTTGATCATTCCCAGCTTGATCTCAAAGTTGTGGTTCTGCACTGGTGGTGGAACAATCCCTTGTCTCTGTTGGTGGCGGTTTGGAGCATCTCCTTGACCAATCGGTCGAGTTTGCCTAGCTCGACCGAGTCCATTGCCCAAAGGGTTTCCATTCCCCTCTGGTACATCCATTGTATCAGCAACAAGCACCTCAGGTTCCTCTTGTACCCTCTGTGACCTCTGAACCCTCTTTCTACCCGTTGTAAGTCTAGCTCGACCAAGTCTTCTTAGACCGACTCGATCGAGTTCGCATACACCTGCAAAAAGAGACAAAAACCCAGCAGTACAATAGAACAGGGGTGGTATAGCTTGATCGTCCAAGTGTGTTTGAAACTCAAATGCAACAAAAATATTCCCAAATCGGCAACGGCGCCAAATTGATGATAGGATTTTGTGGATGTGATATGAAATGAGGTGGAATGCAACAGGGTGAATAAAGATGATGGTAATGGTGCAATCACAATCAATCAATTCCTCTTAACCATCATAGTCATGTAGTATAAGAGGTTATCAATCCAAAATGGGAAACTTGTCACTCTATGAGAATATGAAACAACCAGGAAGTCAAGCAAGCAGTATAGATTTGAAGTAACACTAACAACCTAAAAAAATGAAAAGCAGTGCAATAAAAGTAAAAAAGCAGTAACAAGCAGCTCGACCAAGGACTCGAGTCGAGTGAACAGAGTACCAGCTCGATCGAGTTTAGGGTCGAGTTGAGAAAAGCAAGTAAAGGACGACTTTAACAAGCTAAGAGAGAATTAGGGTTCAAGACAGGGTTTTGCAATCAAAGGAATCTACACTTAATCAATCTAGCTCTTAAAACTCCTTGTATCAAGGCTTCTCTTGATATTGGGCTTCTCAATGCCTAGCCAACCCTTTCCCAAGGTGAGGCTATCAACCAAGGAATGATCTCAGAAACAGGGGGTTAGCCAGTGAGAATCAAACCTTGGAGGCCATAGGATCATTGCCCAAACTAATCCATCCAACCCCTTAGACCTCTATTTCTAGAGCAAGAGATATTGGAGCTCTTAGTGGATCTTTTCCAGCGAATGCCATCACTTCCGTGTGGGGAGTCGCCTAAGGACTTACAAGCCAGGGGTAGTGGTCATGTAGCCTTAAGATCTATCCAAAAGAGAGAGAATCTAGATTAAGACCATAAGCTAGAAGGATTAAGCATATGAAACCTCTAATCTATCCCATCTCAAACCCTAATGGGTAACTACTCACTACACATGAATGTAAACACAAGCAAATGCAATAAAAGAGACATCATAAGAAAGAGGAGATGAAATTAAACAACTTTTATTGAAATAAGCAAGTGCAAATACAAAGAGATATCCAGGATCTAGGATTCAAGAAGCAAGAGCTTCAAGAACACAAAGATGGGATTAGGTTCTAAAAAGTAAAAGACAATAAATTAAAGAAAGCTAAAACAAAAGTAATCTAAAGCTTGGTGGTTTTTTCGTGGCTTAGAGCCTTTAAATACAAGAGGATTAGGTTTAGGGTCAAAGGAAAGTCAAGGGGGAAGCAACATTTTTCGGGTTTGACTGTTGACTTCTCAGCTCGATCGAGTTGAAGCTTGGCCGGTCGAGTTGAGGAACTCGACCGGTTGGTCGAGTAGACGGTCGAGCTGGTCTTCAAGATGGCTTCTCCCTTCTTCCTTTGCGTATCCAGTTGAGCTGCGTCCATGTGCCAAGTCCCTCCATGCTCCGTCCCATATGCTCCAGAATGCTCCAAAAGACCTATTTCAAAGGACCAAACATGCATATGTATGCAAATGCAACCTAAAACTAACATGAATGCATAAGAAGAGAAAAGGAACAAGATATGATGCAAATGGAAGCTAAAACTATGCAAAAGATGCATAAAAGATGTGCTAAAACTATGTAAAATGCAAGTACATCAAGGAGCTTGATTTGGTGAAGAAGCATATGGCTCCTTGGGCGGATATGATGACCTCTGCTCATATCCTTGCCTTGGCTGAAATTGACTTCCTTGAGATTGGTAAGGAGGTCTTTGTTGTTGTGGATACCTTGGAGGATACACTTGGTCTTGAGGATTCTCCACATTGGGGTTTCTATAAGACATGTTGGGGTTTGGGCGATAGCTTGGATTGTATCCCTTGTTCCCATAGTTTCCAATGTAGTTCACATCTTCTTCATTGGCTTCATTAGAGAAATCTCCCATACATTCTCTTGATGAATCTTCATTAGCATCACTCATCCCTTCTATTGCATTGATATGCTTGAGCTGTCCCTTAAGAACTTGAGCCATCATGTTCTTGAGTTCAGTCATTTGAAAAGAATCAGGGGAGCTAGTAGTGGTGCGGCTTGAGCGGTCATAATCAGGACAGTTGTTACAATCACTAGCTGCAAGATTCTCAATAAGAACCTTAGCTTCATCAACAGTCTTGGTCATGAAGTTTCCATTGCTTGCAGTGTCCAATGAAAGCTTGTACTTGTGGTCTATGCCACGATAGAAGATGTTCCATAGGTTTCCCTCATTGAAACCATGATTAGGGCAGTCCCTAATGTACTCCTTGAATCGATCTAGCGCCTCATAGAAAGATTCATTGTTGGCTTGGCGAAAGTGGAGATCTTGTTCTCACAGAAATTGATCTTTGCTTGGTGTAGAAGTGGTTGATGAATGCAGCCTTGTACTCATCCCAAGTGGTAATGGAGTGAGCTGGCAGAGACTTCAACCATCTTGAAGCTTTGTCGCCAAGAGAGAATGAAAAGAGCTTGCACTTAAGGTAGTCAGCAGAGACTCCATTGGATCTTGTAGTGCTGCAAATTTCTTCAAAGTTTTCTATGTGATCAAGAGGGTGCTCAGCTGGAAGTCCATTGAATTGGTTCTGTCTAACCAATGCTATGATCTGAGGCTTGATCTCATAGTCATTCCTTGCAGGTGGTGGTGGATGGATAGGGTTTCTATCCATGAAGAAAGCATCGGCAGAGTCATAGTCTCCGATTGTAGGTGCTCCGGCTTGGGGTTGTGCGTTCACATCTCCAGCAGGGTTAGGAGGAGGAGGAGGTGGATCTCTTCCTTCTTCTTGAGCGCGAGCTGCTTCGTCGGCCATCTCTTGGGCTTTCTGCTTCCTAAGTTGCTTCTCAAGCTTGTCTATCTCTGGATGTTCAACTAGGTTGTCCTTGTTGGACCTCCTAGTCATGCACCTGAAAAGAGTCTTGGAAACAAGTTAAATCAAAAGGGAAAAACAAAAACAAAAGCAAAAATCAAAGAAAAGAAATCAAAAACTAAAAATTCAAAAGCAAAAGAAAAGCAAAACAGGAAAAGGTTCTAGACTAGATCCTAGTCGAGTTCCAAAGGTACTGCTGCAGTCCCCGGCAACGGCGCCAAAAACTTGATGCGGAGTCAGGTTTTACCAAACTCCTAGACCTCTGCAAGTGCACAGATCGCGGAAGTATGGGTATCGAACACAAGGACTGGCTATTGAGTACACTTTGAACTATGGATTTTGGATCAAGCTAAAACAAAAGTATGATTGAGGTTGTAATGGTGAACCGAACTAGCAAGTATAACGAGGTTGTAAACAATAAAGGAAAAGCGCTAGGTCATAGGGGCTATCGCAGAGAAGCAAGCAATGATCAATGAAACAATGATAGATTAATTGATTAGGGATATTGGGATATTAAGAACCATCTAGAACACAGATCACGAATATAAAACCATTCCACTTTCGAGGCTCCGGCTCCTTTGCTAATCTACCTAGTCGCTAAACTTTTGGTATGTCCCTAGGTGATTAGATCAAGCATTAGAATGAATAGGTTCTGATACAGTTCACTAGATATAGATAGATCAACTTTCGCAGTCTAAGAAACCTAGCTTGTCAAAGAATATGTCCGGCGAATGATACAGCACTGTCGAGGCTCAAATCAACCTAAGATCGGATTACTAGATGCGCGGTAAAGCAATCAGCATTAGTTAAGTGCACAAGACGAGACAAAGACTCTAATATAATCCCTAGCTAATCATTGAAATCAAAGATCATGCAAGCAACTCATTGAATAGTAACCCTAGCAACCTAACTAGTGGATTACTCAGACATGATCAAAGCAAACACACATAGAGATGAAGAAAACATGATTGCAATAAAACTTAGAGTAGGAAATCGAAATACAGGGCGGCTCTCTTTCTCACAAGAGGCTAAAAATCCATATATATAGTGCTAGGTCTTTCTAGAGGCGGCTTAGGGTTAAGCCGGGCTTGAAAACATAAGTTTGGGCTTCAAAAAGGGCTTCGGGTCGACCGCGGCGTTGGGACGGTCGGTCGGGACGATCGGCCGGACAGTCGGGTCGTGGCCGAGTCGGAACGGTCGGGGTCGGACGGATTCACGGTCGGTCGGCGTGGTCGGCGGATGAAGTTTGGCCGATGAAATCTCGGCCGGACGCGGGACGTTCTCCCGGGTCGGACGGAGCGTTCGTGCGTGGTACGGAAGGAGTTGCGCGGCCGCGAGGCTTACTTCCCGGCTCGCGCGCTTTGGTCGTGCGCGGGTGGCGTGGCGTTGTGGCGTGGCCGACCGCGGGCAGTTTCCCGGGTCGTGATGCGTGATCGGCCGAGTGGTTTTGGACTTTGGCCGAGACTTCAGACGGACGGACGAGTTTGGCCGAGCGCGGAACATGCGTTCCTCGGCCAGCCGGACTGCGCGGTTGGGCGCTGTTCTCGATAGAGCCGTCTGGACAGTCTTCACTCTTTTGGTTATAACTCCTTTTCTACTCATCCAAATGAGGCCATTCCAATTGCGTTGGAAAGTTAACTCAATCAGAGCACGCAGGGAACTGGTCTTGATGAAATCCATTGAGTAGATCTTTTTCTGGGCCCTCTTAAAGTTGGTGCTTGTGCATGGAGCTGCTTGAAGTGCAAATCCTATGGTTTTGCTCCAAAATGCATCATTTCACCTGTTTAGACTCTAGACACTATAAACACAGTAAAACTACCTTTTTAGATAGAAAACCTGCCAAAAACCATTAGAAAACAATGCTAAAACAGTATAAAAAGTGGGTAAATTAGAGGTATATCACTTGTTTCTCCTAAAATACTTTCTGTTATTTTAGGATCATCATGCTTCTCAACTTCCTTTCGCTTTCTAGGATTTTTATCCTTAGAACCAACAGGTCTACCACGCTTCAAGCGTGTTTTAGACTCACGTGTATCGTTTGCCTTTGCAAGTTCATGTGGTATTTCAATACGAGCAGGGGCATTTGCAGCTGGTATGTGTGATTTTGTTACCAATTTGGTATTAGTAAACGCATCAGGTAACTGATTTGCTATATTCTGAAAATGCATAATTCGTCGAACTTCTAGTTCAGATTGTTTATAAGAGGATCAAGGTGTAGTAAGGATGGTACACACCATTTGATATCCTTCATTTCTTGCTTATTTTCTCCCCCTAGAACCGGGAATATTTTCTCATCAAAATGGCAGTCAGCAAAGCGTGCCGTAAAGACATCTCCCGTTTGTGGTTCGAGATATCATATAATAGACGGGGAATCAAAACCAACATATATTCCTAATCTTCGTTGCGGTCCCATCTTTGTACGTTGTGGTGGTGCTATAGGTACGTATACCGCACAACCAAAAATTCTTAGATGAGAAATATTTGGTTCTCGACCAAAAGCCAACTGTAATGGGGAATACTTATGGTATGCACTTGGTCTTATTCGAATAAGAGCTTCTGCGTGTAAAACAGCATGTCCCCATACAGAGGGTGGGAGTTTTGATCTCATGATCAATGGTCTAGCAATTAATTGCAAACGCTTAATTAATGATTCGGCCAAACCATTTTGCGTATGAACATGGGCCACAGGATGTTCAACATTAATCCCAGTTACCATACAATAATCATTGAATGCTTGAGATGTGAACTCACCAGCATTATCTAGTCTAACTCCTTTTATTGGATAATCAGGAAACTGAGCTCTTAGTTTGATTATCTGAGTTAGGAATCTCGCAAATGCCACATTTCAAGATGATAATAGACAAACATGTGACCATCTACTTGACGCGTCAATCATTACCATGAAGTAGTAAAATGGTCCACACGGTGGATGTATAGGTCCACATATATCACCTTGGATTCGTTCAAGGAATTTTGGCAATTCTTTATCAATTTTGGGTGGTGATGGCCTTATTATCAATTTTCCAAGAGAACACGCGGCACACGTCATTTTCTTTCCTTGGTATATTTCTTGCATTTTCAAGGAATGTCCGTGTGAGTTCTCAATAATTTTTCGCATCATAGTAGTACCAGGATGGCCAAGGCGATCATGCCATATTGTGAAATCATCAAGATTTCTTTTGATCACTAGATGCGACTCTATCTCATTTATATATGTATGATGCAAACCAGAAGGGAGTTTTGGTAACTTTTCCAATACTTTCACTTTTCCTGATTTTTCAGAAGTAATATACATATACTTCTTTCCATCCTCAGTCGCTGACTGAGTATCAAACCCTTGAAGGTATATATCTTTAAAACTCAACAAATTCCTTTTTGAATTTGGAGAAAATAATGCATTATCTATTGAGAATCTCGTCCCATTAGGTAATGCAAAATTAGCGTTACCAGTTCCTTCAATCAAGTCTGCAGGACCTGAGATTGTATTGACAATAATCTTTGTCGGTTTTAAATTAGAAAAATATTTTCTATGTTTCAGAATAGTGTGCGTTGTTCCACTGTCTGGTATACATATATCTCCATTATTCATCTTGGATGTTGTTCCATTCGTTTTGTAATCCATTTCTGAGATCAACAAAACAAGTTATATAAATAAGGTAATTTTATTAATCAAGCAAACAGCACACAATAATTATACATTAATAGTTAAAAATTACACAATAATTATACATAAGTAGTTTAGCATCACATAATAATTATACATAAATAGATAGTGCAAGCATTATTAATTTTAAACATTTCACACAAGTGGCAATTATTTATAACACAATCCTTGGGATTTCATGAGTCACATGGCGGATATTTCAGACTTCAGATGGGACGGTGTCATCGAAATCATCTGCAAAGTCAGAAGCATCGAGGTGGGTTGTTCCCTCTGAGTGCTCTGCAAGGTTTACTTCTTTTCCTTTGCCTTTGGCAGAATCTTTGTACAATGTACAAAGGTGCCTAGGAGTACGGCAATTCCGGGACCAATGTCCTTTTGTACCGCATCTGTAACAACAGTCTCTCGCTTCTGGGAGGTGTTTCCTTGGTGCTCTTTTTCTGAAGATTGTTCAGAGTGATTCCATTGGAATGACCTTTTGTTATTTGGGTTGTATCGCCCACGTCCGCCACGTCCGCGATTGTTTCGACCTCCACGACCTCGGAAAGAATTGTTTTCTTTCACCGGTTTCTTTACATCCAATGCGTTTGCTTCAGGAAACGCTTTGGATCCAGTAGGTCGAGTCATGTGATTCTTTATGAGGAGCTCACTGTTTTTCTCCGCAACTAGGAGTGCCACAATCAAATCAGAAAATTTGGTGTATCCCCGACATTTGGTGTATCCTCGCAACATGTATTGTTGTTGCAGGGTGATGTGATCCTTGTGGAATGTGGTGTACGTCTTCTCCAGCATTTGAGCTTTCGTTATGGTCTCATGATGTACTTGCATTTTGCATAGTTTTAGTACATCTTTTATGCATGTTTTGCATGGTTTTAGCATCCATTAGCATCATATCTTGTTCCCTTTCCCTTCTTATGCATTCATAGTAGTTTTAGGTTGCATTTGCATACATGTGCATGTTTGATCCTTAAATAGGTTCTTTTGGAGTACTTTGGAACAACTGGGACGTGAGGAGCAAGGAAGGACTTAGTGCATCGATTCAGCTCAGCCGCACATGATTAGGACGAAGAAAAAAGCCATCTTGAAGGCAGCTCGACCCACCTACTCGACCAACCGGTCCTCAACTCTACCGGCCAAGTTACAACTCGATCGAGCTGCGGAGTCAATGGTCAAACCCGAAAAATGTTGCTTCCCTTTGACTCCCCTTTGACCCTAAACCTAATCTCTTTTGTATTTAAGGGCTTGCAGCCACGAAAAAACACAACTCTCCTTAGCTTAATTTCGTTTTGCTTTATTTAGTTTTGTACCTTTTACTTTTTGAAAAAACCTTAGCCTCTCTTTGTGTTCTTGAGCTCTTGCTCTTGAACCTTAGATCTAGGCCTTATCCTTTTGTATTTTCACTTGCTTATTTCAATAAAAGTTGTTCATCTTTATCTTGTCTATCTTTCAATGTCTCCTTTATTGCATTTGATCATAATTTGCGAAATGTGTAGTGAGTAGTTCTCTTTAGGATTTAAGATGGGCTAGACTAGAGGATTGTTATGCTTAACCTCTCTTGCTTGATGTTCTTAATCTAAAAATCTCTCTCTTTTGGACAAAACTTAATGCAACACAACCACTATCCATGGTGTGTTTGATCATAGGCGATTTTCCTCATGGAAGTGTTGGAAAATCGCTTGAAAAGGTCCACAAAGAGCACCAATATGCTTGCTCTCGAAATGGAGTTTATAGGTTATGGATGGGTTAGTTTGAGCAATGATCCTACTGCCTCTAAGGCTTGATTCTCACTGGCTGACCCCCTGTTTCTGAGATCTTACCTTAGATGATAGCTTTCACCTTGGGAAAGGGCTAGCTAGACTTGAGAAGCTCAATACCAAGAGATACCTTGAATACAAGTGGT